GTTAAAGCTGGACACAGCAGATTTTCCAGAGTTAGGCTTTTGGGGTTTTCCTTTTAAGTCCTTTGAAGTGAAACTATCTGTACCAAAGACCGGATCGGTTGCTTCTTCCGCAGCTGTCTCAATAAATTCTGATAGAGCTTCAATACCAGGGTAATTGCCTTGAACTTTCAAGGTAAGAACTGTTTGCTTTCTCCATCTCCCTTGAAGATACGAAGGTAATTTTCCAATTATCTTCCCCATTCTGACTTGATTGTCTATTTCATTCAGTCTACCCATGGCAGTCAAAGTGATAACACAGCTTCTAACAGAGTCTGCATATCTCCCTAATTCTGAACTGTCACCATATCGCAAGCTTGATCCTTCAGTGACCTTTCCGACCCAAGCCTTTGATATTACATATTGGTTGCCAAAACGTTCCAACAATAGTCTTTAGCTTCAGGATATCCTACATGTGGCTCCATCACAGCACAGCATTCAATAACCTGAGAGCTTTACCGGTGCAGTACTGGAGAAGACGAGTAAGCTTTGCACTATCACTGACATTAGTGTTCCCAATGCTGTTGTCAAATGAACGAATGAAAATCCAGTATTTCAGAGGATCCCCATCAAACTTCATAAGCTCTGTTTTGGGAAGCTGAATAACATTCAACATCTGGTGTTGCATGTAGAGCATTTTATCATCAGTTGTCATATTGTCACCTGTCACTTCACACGGGCCATCCATGATACCATGTTGACCCTGTTTCTTTACCTGCTGTTCCTGTTCATTATGTTTTGACAAGGTTGGATTATCACCCCTATCTGATAGATAAGACTTCCGGTGGGGCCACTCCTTTGCCAAAGGATCTAAACGCTTATCCTTCTTTGCCAGACCCTTTCCCTGTACCAAGCCATCACGAGTTAAGCCTGTATCATGCAATACATCAGTGTTATCCCTTTTCTGTGAGACATTACTTCTCATTTCTTCACAAACTTGTTCTTCTTCTTCAGCAGCTGCTGTCTGTCTCTATTTGAAGAGTTTCGTGTAATTGTTCCAACTCCAGCTGTTTGAACTTCAGTTCATGTTGTTTCTGTAATGCTGCTGCTCGCACACGTAAAGCAGCTTTCTTTGCAGCAGCCTTCGACCTTGAACTTACAGAAGTATGACTTCCACACGCCTGACTTGCAGAATCTTCTGGGCGCACATCCTCTTTATCATTTCCGGGATTACTTTGTGAAGTTAGCCTCCACACCGTAATGTCAGTCATTAACTGTTCATACCTATCTCTCACCTGCATGTAATATGTCTCGGCTTGACTATATTCAGCAGGGTCATTCATAACAAGATCTTTCAATTGCATAGTTTTCTGTACAAGCTTGGCCATTATTCCTTCAATATTGTCCTTTTCATTGTCTACTAAGTCAACCAAAACCACAGTGGCCTTTTCACGAAGTTTGTCCCTCAGGTAATTCTCCGACTTAGTATATGAAGACATTATTCCTCCCCTTTGTCTTCTTAATTGTGTAATTGTTTCTGCAATCACACGACCTTCATCAATGTCAACGCTAACGTTTTCCATTCTGGTACGAGTATTAGTACACTCTTCGGTATACTTTGGCTGTCAAACATCCTGATTGAAATGTTTACAAATCCTTGAAACATTTTTGAACTTTATTGCAGAGGTTAAAACATAGTCGGGCCTTCATTTTGAACACGTTTATTGAATTATTGTCCGCAGACTCTTTACATGACGCCGCAGCGTAGGTAGAATTCAACTTGATACGGTTCAAACTGTATAAATAAAATATACAATTATAAAAATACAGCTGAACAATTTCCACTGCTAAATCAATATCTTGACTACTCAGATAAATGCAATGTATCTGTAAATATAACGAAAATATGGAACACGAACCCACGTGCCTGACATGACAAAACTGAAATTATTCTAAACTCATATAAATTCATCAAACTTAACACGCTTTGTGACCCTATCAACAATGTTCATCAATATAAATAATAACCATCAACTACTTACAACTTTTCTTGGCCCCTTGACCCTCTACAAAATTGAATCACCGCAGTGACACCAGCCATGTGCTTTAGTCGGCCTCAGTCGCCCGGATCAAACTACCGGCCGGGACCACTTAAAATCCGGATCCTTACCGGCGGCAACATAAACAAAGCCCGGATCAGTTTACCGGTAAAAACCAAATTAAATTTTATCCTTAACAATGGTATCTCAGTGGGCTAGCACTATAAAACCAGCATAAGTCTGGGCTAGTACAAGCAGGCGCACATACACATACACACGCATGCACGTCGTCATATGAGCGAAATTATTCTCAAGCACGACGTTAAACCCAATTTCACCTCACCTCACCTCACCTCACCTCACCTCACCTCACCTCACCTCTTCCATACAACGAAGGCATATTGATTTTGAATCAACTCTGGCTAACATTTTTACACGAGCTTTCTCTTCAATTTGTTTCAAGTAAAACAATGTGCAATGTTTCCGTTGTCTTGCAAGCTCTGTTGGTTTGTGAATTGAATCGGGCATGAACGCAAGGTGTGAGATCACTACTGGAAATTATTATTGGAAAACGCACAGAACCGTGGACGTACTGTCCCTTTAAACCTTCGTTTTTAATAAATCTGTGCTGAACCTGTGATGTAGGCCTAAGAGTCAGTGTGCAGGACTAGCCAATTACATTTTTGCCTGCAGAAACGTGTTAGAAAGTCTGCAAATCACAGACTGACACATGTACAACATATTGGCTACCTCATGCCACTACTTCTACTGGGCGTTCATCGGTGTGTAGGATGCATCGAAGCTATTCAAGTGTGTTTATGTGTTACTGTGGATAACGAATTGAAGTCCAAAATCTACAATGACTCCCAACCTTCTCGCGAGGAGAATTGCGGGAATACGTGTTCTTGTTTGTGTTAAGTGTTAGGTTTTAATCCGAAACGTATCTTTATCTCTTCTTGTAAGGTTGTATATCACAATAGTTTGTGTCACAAATGAAATATAAGATGCGAGGGTTCGATGTTGAAAAGATCCAAACAACATTTCAATCTGTTTATTTAAGAAAATAATAGTATACTGTAAAACAAGTTACAACCAATTTCTGAAAAAAGTATATATCACAATGTACAATAAATAGGCTAATCAAATCACTAACACAATGGTTTTGCCTAAACTGAAGGCCTCGAACAGAAATACATCACAAGCAATAAATATCACTAAAACATCAGTTCAGTAAAATAGAATAGAAGCGAAAACACCCTTTCCACAGTCATAAGAAATCTCTGCCAAAAGCAGAGTCGATTGTACAATTGAGACTATATCATGAGCAGATATTTGTTTCAGCAGTGTCACCCCTGTAGGATGTAAACAAATGGGGCAATCCAGTGATTGTCACCATGCGATACAATGACAGAGCATGTGTTTATGAATCACTATGAAATAGGGTTGATACCAGGTGTTTGCGAAAACGTAAGCGATCCTGCCCCACCGGTGACAGCCGTCACAACGTATGCTAAGTCTTGCCATGACGCAATATCACTTAAGTCATAAACTCTGTAACCATTCAACAAAATGTAGCATCAGTTCAGTAAATACGAGACCATATATCGAAATATGGCCCCTGAGCAAATACATGTAGAAAACATTCACTAAAACGCAACATAAGTTCAAAAGTCTCCGGAAGAACACACGCCCATCTCCAACAACAGTTCAGTAAAAACACTACGTAAACATTCATTGAAACACAAAGTCGGTGTCCACTAAACGCTGTCGGCTTCAAGTCTCTCAATTTGGTATGTCCGCCACCAAACTAAGGCCTCCACTATCAATCTTGATGCCGAGCGGTATCTCCTGTATCAAGCCTTCCGTGAAGATCCGGGTTAGAATATTGATCTTCAGTAACCCATGCTTGTCGTTAGAGGCGACTAACGAGATCGGGTGGTCAGGCTCGCTGGCTTGGTTGACATATGTCGTATCTAAATTACATAGATCGATGCGCATGCTGGATTGTCTTGTCCAGACTCGATTATTTACAGACCGGCCCGATGTAGCTACAATATTGCTGTGTGCGGCGTTTTGTTTGTTTAAAGCATATATTATTCATGAGAAAAGGACTGGGTAGAAGTTATACAACTTAGTACACCCTCTCCGTAGTATTTACACAGTATTATTTACATTCATTCTACAAGATGGACAGAGAAGAACAATTGCAATAATTAAGAAAATCGTTTGATTGACAAATATATGTTTGAACAATCTTAAATATGTTTTGATTTATGTGAACAGTCAGATCTGCATTGCCATGTAATAGTAACTCATAGGTTATATTTAAATTGGTAACACTGCGTAAATTAGTCATCATGGTAGTTCTCTGTACCGTATATAATTGACAGTCAAATAAGTAATGATAAGGATTTTCACAAACATTTCCACAAGAACAATTTGGGTTAAACAACAAACCAACCAACCAACCTGTATCAAGCACAAGTTCGTAATAACAAACAAAACATCAGAGAATAGTCAGTCTGGATTATCATAGATAACTCGAACAGGCGTAAAAGGTAAAGTTGATCACAGAATATCAGTGGTGACATCAGAAGTTTGTGAAATCGGAAGATATTTCTTGCTCTGAAAGAGACACACATAAGACACATTTTTGCGCACCACAGTACCGCGTTTGATTTTTGCCTCCCAAATCCTATCCTGCATGCTTAACATATGGTTTCATACAGAATGATTCCTTGCCTTCAGGAAAATAGAAATCGAAAAAATTCAAAATGTAACTTACATGTTACAATGTTCAAACATATAGTAAATAATGTTCAGGCCTCCAACATACAAAAGTCCCAGTCTTTGACACAAAGTTTATACTTACAGTTTATACTTACAGTTTATACTATTAATGCATTTTGTACATAATTATCACACTGCTGGTGTAACAGGCACAGAACGTATATTCTTAAAACCACAAAATCAAGTATACAATGGCTACACAACTAAACTGAAATTTGCCCCCTTTGATTCCAGGAGGTCAAACACGATTTTGAGTCCATTGATAGCTGCAGCCATTAGTGGTGTCCATCCATTATCTCCTCTGAGGTTGATAATCGCACAAGGTGTTGTTCCAAGGCCATGTTGCCTCCCCGACAGGCAAAATATAGCAGATTATTACCAGATGTATCAAGCTGGGTAGGGTTTGCCCCTTTTGATTCAAGGAAGTCAAACACGCCTTTGTGTCCTTTGAAAGCTGCAGCCATTAGTGGTGTCATTCAATACCCGCCTCTGAGGTTGATATTAGAATCTGACACCAGATGTTCTACCAGAGCCATGTTCCCTCCCTGACAGGCAAGGTGAAGTAAACTATCACCAAATGTATCAAGCAGGGTGGTGTTGGCCCCCTTTGATTTCAGGAAGTCAAACACGCTTTTGTGCCCACTGAAAGCTGCAGCCATTATTGGTGTCCATCCATTACTGCCTCTGAGGTTGATATTAGAATCAGACACCAGATCTTCTACCAAAGACATGTTACCTCCCAGACAGGCAAGGTGAAGTAAACTATCACCAAATGTATCAAGCAGGGTGGAGTCTGCACCCTTTGATTCAAAAAGGTCAAACACGCTTTTGTGTCCTTTGAAAGCTGCAGCCATTATTGGTGTCCATCCATTACTGCCTCTAAGGTTGATATTAGAATCAGACACCAGATGTTCTACCAGAGCCACTTTCCCTCCCTGACAGGCAAGGTGAAGTAAACTATTGCCAAATGTATCAAGCAGGGTGGAGTCTGCCCCCTTTGATTCCAGGAAGTCAAACACGCTTTTGTGTCCTTTGACAGCTGCAGCCATTAGTGGTGTCCATCCATTACTGCCTCTGAGGTTGATATTAGAATCAGACACCAGATGTTCTACCAGAGCCACTTTCCCTCCCTGACAGGCAAGATGAAGTAAACTATCACCAAATGTATCAAGCAGGGTGGTGTCAGCCCCCTTTGATTTCAGGAGGTCAAACACGCTTTTGTGCCCACTGAAAGCTGCAGCCATTATTGGTGTCCATCCATTACTGCCTCTGAGGTTGATATTAGAATCAGACACCAGATCTTCTACCAAAGACATGTTACCTCCCAGACAGGCAAGGTGAAGTAAACTATCACCAAATGTATCAAGCAGGGTGGAGTCTGCACCCTTTGATTCAAAAAGGTCAAACACGCTTTTGTGTCCCTTGAAAGCTGCAGCCATTATTGGTGTCCATCCATTACTGCCTCTAAGGTTGATATTAGAATCAGACACCAGATGTTCTACCAGAGCCACTTTCCCTCCCTGACAGGCAAGGTGAAGTAAACTATTGCCAAATGTATCAAGCAGGGTGGAGTCTGCCCCCTTTGATTCAAGGAAGTCAAACACGCTTTTGTGTCCATTGACAGCTGCAGCCATTAGTGGTGTCCATCCATTACTGCCTCTGAGGTTGATATTAGAATCAGACACCAGATGTTCTACCAGAGCCACTTTCCCTCCCTGACAGGCAAGGTGAAGTAAACTATTGCCAAATGTATCAAGCAGGGTGGAGTCTGCACCCTTTGATTCAAGGAAGTCAAACACACTTTTGTGTTCTTTGATAGCTGCAGCCATTATTGGTGTCCATCCATTACTGCCTCTAAGGTTGATATTAGAATCAGACACCAGATGTTCTACCAGAGCCACTTTCCCTCCCTGACAGGCAAGGTGAAGTAAACTATTGCCAAATGTATCAAGCAGGGTGGAGTCTGCCCCCTTTGATTCCAGGAAGTCAAACACGCTTTTGTGTCCATTGACAGCTGCAGCCATTATTGGTGTCCATCCATTACTGCCTCTGAGGTTGATATTAGAATCTGACACCAGATGTTCAACCAGAGCCACTTTCCCTCCCTGACAGGCAAGGTGAAGTAAACTATTGCCAAATGTATCAAGCAGGGTGGAGTCTGCTCCCTTTGATTCAAGGAAGTCAAACACGCTTTTGTGTCCATTAAAAGCTGCAGCCATTAGTGGTGTCCATCCATTACTGCCTTTGAGGTTGATATTAGAATCAGACACCAGATGTTCTACCAGAGCCACTTTCCCTCCCTGACAGGCAAGGTGAAGTAAACTATTGCCAAATGTATCAAGCAGCGTGGAGTCTGCTCCCTTTGATTCCAGGAAGTCAAACACGCTTTTGTGTCCTTTGAAAGCTGCAGCCATTATTGGTGTCCTTCCATGCTCGCCTCTGAGGTTGATATTAGAATCAGACACCAGATGTTCAACCAAAGACATGTTGCCTCCCAGACAGGCAAGGTGAAGTAAACTATCACCAAATGTATCAAGCAGGGTGGTGTTGGCCCCCTTTGATTTCAGGAGGTCAAACACGCTTTTGTGCCCACTGAAAGCTGCAGCCATTATTGGTGTCCATCCATTACTGCCTCTGAGGTTGATATTAGAATCAGACACCAGATTTTCAACCAGAGCCACTTTCCCTCCCTGACAGGCAAGGTGAAGTAAACTATTGCCAAATGTATCAAGCAGGGTGGAGTCTGCACCCTTTGATTTCAGGAAGTCAAACACGCTTTTGTGTCCTTTGAATGCTGCAGCCATTATTGGTGTCCATCCATTACTGCCTTTGAGGTTGATATTAGAATCTGGCACCAGATGTTCAACCAAAGACATGTTGCCTCCCAGACAGGCAAGGTGAAGTAAACTATCACCAAGTGTATCAAGCAGGGTGGAGTCGGCCCCCTTTGAAATCAGGAGGTCAAACACGCTTTTGTGCCCACTGACAGCTCCAGCCATTATTGGTGTCCATCCAATTATGCCTCGGTTGTTCACATTCGAATTTGACACCAGATGTTGAACTATAGACATATTGCCTCCCACACACGCAACATGAAGTAAACTATCACCAGGTGTATCTGCACCTTTCTCCACCAGGAGGTTAAACACGTTTTTGTGTCCCATGAGAGCTGCAAACTTGATTGGTGTCAAGCCATTCATGTTTCTTTTGTCAATGCTGACTGAAGGTAGCAGTTGCCTAACAATGGCAATGTTTCCTCCTTCACAAGCAAGATGTAAAACACTATTACCATCCATGTCCTGAACATCCATATTTGAGATCGATACCAGCTGTTTGAAACATTCCTCTGATCCTGTCTTTGCTGCAACCAGTAGAGGAGTGTAGCCATTCACATCAACACTATTTAAAATATCTGTGTTTGCCTGTGTATTTAACAGTGCCCGAAGTGTGTCTTCGTGTTGTGACTTACACACCAAATGGAAAATGTTTTGCATCCTTGAGTCAGAGGTATCGGGACGCGCTCCAGCATTCAGCAGATACAAAAGTGTTTCAGTACTGCCGTTTTCTGCTGCAGACAACAGCAGTCTGTTCAGTTTATTAGTCCAGTCCTGTCCATCAGTCTTTGAGAGTAGCCATTGCAGTAACGTCACCTTGTTTGTTTGAACACAGCCTTCCATAGCTTCTGTGATCTCGTCATCTGTGAACACTTCTCCAGTTTGAGTCTCCACATGTGTAACCAACTGTGGATTATGTCCCAAAACAGCCCAATACAAGAAACACTTTCCTTTTTCTCTTTGGTGAATCCATGCATGGTCCACTGAATCATTTGTGTTGGGTTTCGTCTCACCAAATGTCAGTCTTTCAAGAAGCTCTTCAGCTAGTTTGCTGTGCTTAAGGATTGGATGTGTTACTGACTTTGAAAACTTTCCTTGCTTAATAGCATTTGCAAACCGTGTGGACAGAAGATCATAATACTCTTCGGAAATGAAAATCAAATGAAGATTATCATCAACTTTGGTTTCTCTGACGGTTTCTTGGTGTACTCGCTCGTACAGAAAGGCATCACTGCAATGCTTCAAAACAAAGCTTGGATTGATGCCATATACGACACATGCACATGCATCATAGATTGAAGAATGAGCAAAGGAAACAGTGTCTCCTCTTGTGAAAAATGTACCTCTGAAACTACGTGCTGCTTGACACATCCCCAAGCGTGTAGCTGTAGGTATTAGACGTATCACAATGTTGACTTTCTCATCCAACTCCTGGTCTACATCATCGCTTTCTAACTTTATCAGTTGCAATCTGCCTTCACAAAGTAACATCAGGACTAACACTGCAGATCGATCATTCATAGCACCAATTATGACAGTGAGTTCCTCCCTCAAATAAGACAATGGTTCTTTGAAAAGCTTTCTGGGATTGTTTGAAAAAGTACAAAGTTTACATATGAGCGGGAATCCAAATAATTTTGAAGGTATTTCCAAATCTCTGTATTCGGGTAGATTACCTTTGGAGCAGTCATCTGCTGTGCTCTTATGTCTCCCGTATATTTGCTGTTCCTCTGCTGGGGAAAGACTGTGTAAGGTTATATTCATCACTGCTTGTTCCTCAAACGGAGGAAAACAAGCAAAGTGCAGTTGTGCAAGTCCATCATGAAAGTTGTATGACTTTGTTGTGAATATGACACGAATATCCTTTCTTTGACTTTTTCTTTCATCATCCTGCTTGTGTTTACTTTCCTCTTTCCTAACTGACTGAATTTGTTTTAAGGCCTGCTTACAGTGTTCCAAATGGAGTAATAGATTTTTCAGAAATGATATAATCAGTAGAACATTAGTGGACAAACCTGCAGTACCAAACATGTCATCAATGATAAGAAATACTCTTGGAGTAGAACTGAGGCAGCTGTCCAAATCAAACTTGTCAATGCTTTCCACAAACACGACCTGGTAACCTCGGTTTCTGTACTGTGAACTCAATATCAGAGCCATTGTGGTCTTCCCTTCTCCTGAGGCACCACAGATTGTCACGTAACGAAACGTTTTAAGTTTACGCTTCACCTGTCTGTAGACATCTGTTTCAACAAATGTTTTCTTGGCTTCATTTAGAAGAAGTTCGAGAGTTCCTGTGGACAAATACGACATTGTATAAACATATTGTGCTTAGGACATAAACTCATCGACGTGACTAGATATACTGATGTTGGCGTTGCTTACATGGGTAATTAATGTAAACTTAAATACACGTAAAATTTCACACTAATCTGGCCAGAGATGCCTACTTTAGATTGTGACGTGATGAGTGCAAAATAGCCCTGTCTAATTTATACGCAAAAGATCATGAATAACAGTGTATGATAAGAAAAGGTCGTCAAATAGTCATATTCTGGATCATTTATCAAATGCTTATTTCGTAACTTATCGAAATATCATGCATTTTGTCTGTTACTATTATGTTCTGATTGCAAAACATAAGTCGTATTTGTGATACCATAATCACCAGAGTTTTACAGATGCTTTGACAAATTTGTGTGGATGTTTAACGTCTCACATAAGAATAATCAAGCTATATAATGTCAGTCTGTAAATAAATACTTGCCTCAATCCACTTGCCTCAATCCGACACAAACAACGCTGTCAAGCAGGTCGACATGAACACAGACATTTAACTACAGAAAGCATAGGATGACGTTCTTATTGTGGAATATGCACGGTTTCACATGTTTTTATGGGTCTGCCTCTATGACTAGTAAAAGTATGCCGAAGGCACATTCTACCTGAGTCCCCTCTGGGTATTTTGAATGTCTTGAACGTTTATTTGTAAAGAATTTTCATTGAAAGTTTGCAAGTGTGTAATCAAGGCTTGGCTGGTCTACTATTGACTCACCTTCTCCGACTGTCCCGGGAACTGTCAGTCCAGTGGAAATGTTCACGTACTTCGAGTTGGAAACAAAGATATAGGAAGCTGAACCACCTGGCAACAAAACCATGCTGATGTTCAAAAACCAGCTCCATTGTTTCATACAATATAAAGAGAGCTGCAGTTGGTTTCATTAGTATTTGAGTGTATGATTCAAACTGGACCACGTTAATGTAAGTCTCTTTCTGTAAGTCACTGGTGCAAATCAATAACCAAAAGCAGCCAGATGCCATGTAAAATCTGCTCATTGATCAGGTCAAGTGTCTCTGCAGCTTCACGACACATCAATGAATACCCACTGCTTTATGTTCCATTCATTATTTAAAAATGTTAACATTATATGACAAGTTGAACAAAGAGTTATACAAGTGTCCCTTGTATATTGAACTGTTCAGCTGATTGCTTGATACTAAGCAGCGTGTTCAATCAGAGTGCGCACCTTTCCGTATTCATTAGTCTTTGGACCCTTGCAATAAGTTTGTGTGCCATGTAATAAAATCTGAAATGTATTTAATATTGTTACATCTTATCGTTTGCTCGAAGGTTTAGGAAATGGCCTCCCATTTGGCACTACCACATCAGGTTGTCCCAAGGATATTACGTTACGACCTTATTACAACTTTACAACTCTCAAATAGGTTTGGTAATGAAACGAATGATTAATAGGGTAAACAGTACTTAGAAGATCCATACACACAGTGATACAAGGGATGAATGAAGAATGACTATGTACACGTACCAAGCCCTGGACTGGACATGAAAGGTTGACTCCTTGGCGGAGCAATGACCGAGTGATGTCCAGAGAAACGTCCACGATCAGTCGGCCTGGCAATGGCCGAGTGGATTCCAGGTTCGTCCTCATGTAGAGCTGAACTACCATGGACCGTAGGATCTTCCTCGCCTGAATCACCCATGGCTTCCGGATCCAGATCTGAGGTGGCCATGTCCTTGTGGTCGTCAATATTCTCTGCTAGAGTTGTCCTCAAAGATGGTATGTGCCTCCACGTGGATGACAAATATTCACTCTTCACGGATATCGCACAATCCTGCAAAATTATTCATCCCCACTCCTGCAGAATGTCATACGATATATACCATTCAAAAAATGTAGGGGATATTGGATTTACAAGATTGATAAAATGCAAATGATGAAGCAAAGGAGGAAACAGATGATGAAGAGAAATTAAGGGAAAGTGTGACAATTTATTCCATTCCTTTGGAAATGTTTCATCTGTATGGATATACATTACGTTTTCCCATATGCATTGGCATTACCTAGTGTTATGCACGCAAAATGGAATATCCCATAGTTTTTTTAATGGTATATATGCATTTATAGATGATATATGGGACATGTATGTGTGCGTGTGTGTTGGAACTGACCCGTGTAAAATCATAATGGATACCAATTGTGTCATCCAACATGAGTTGGACATGAAATTCTGTCTTTCAAACCATTAAGAACTATCTACATACTAACTCCTGTGGTGTTAGATTTTATTCTTTAAACAGTCACTGACAGAGAGGAGATGAACGTTTAGGCATATGATTGGCTTAAGATTGACAAGACAACCTTTTCCTCACTTTTGTGGTGGTGTTATTGACTAACGCCACACTCTGCAATTTTCCAGCTATATGGCGGCAGTAGGTAAATAAGTGAGACTGGACCAGACACTCCAGTAACTGACACCCTGAGCATCGATCTATGCAATACGGATACGAAGACATGCATGATCCAAAACTGAGAGTATGATCACCCGAACCCATTAGTCGCCTCTAACACAAGTTGCATTGAATCCCATTGACAACGGGCAAAACCAAAAGAAATGATCAAACATCATAAGATTTAGAGAATGAGCCAACGTGGCACTTGCTCACAAGCTGCTTGATCAGGGTTATAACTCTTTTAAAAGCTCCTTGACGGTTTCAAAATAGACTGCAGGAGATTTCCAAATCTGAGCATCAGTGAGAAAAAGGATCCAATGTGAGTCACTCATTTGACTGGCCGCATCTTCCAGTGGTTGATTTTGGAGGGTTTTTGTTTTGTTCTTCATGTGGATAAAACTGATTTGCTATTTCATGTGTTTGTAATATGGGGTTCAGAATAGGCTACAAATCGTGAACACCTGATATCATCAGTAAACCATAGTGGTTCCAACACGTATGCTTATGATGTGGTCATAATCATAAGAGGCATCCAATTTGGAATATCTCCTTCAGTACCCATTTTACAATGAACTATTCCTCAGTACACTCTTCACATGAAACTCTCCTCCAGTATCCATTATGCAATAAAGCATTCCTCACTACACACTTCACATGAAACTCTCCTTAAGTAACATTTTGCAAAAAAACCTATTCCCCAATACATACTTCACATGAAACTCTCCTTCAGTACCCAGTTTACAATAAACTATTCATCAATACACACTTCACATGAAATTATCCTTCAGTACCCATTTTACAATGAACTATTCCTCAATACATACTTCACATGAAACTCTCCTTAAGTAACATTTTACAATGAACTATTCCTCAATACATACTTCACATGAAACTCTCCTTAAGTAACATTTTGCAAAAAAAACTATTCCTCAATACCCCTCTCCTTCAGTACCCAGTTTACATTAAACTGTTCCTCCATTCGTAAGTACAGACTTCACATGAATCACAAACATTTTTTAGTCACTTTAGCTATAACTAGCCTCAAAACTCACTTTACACCAAACACACACTCTCTCTCTCTCACACACGCACACACACACACATCGTCAATGCCAACTCAATATCCAAATTGTATGAAATACACATTATACATTAAACGCTTTAACAAAAACCACAGTTCTTAGTACCCACTTTACACAACAAAACGACAAGAATTAAGATTCAATACCACTTTTTTAAACTTTAGATAAAAATAAACAAGATTTCATCGGAGGTGAACATGGTGCCCTGGTCATTACTAAACTTAAGACCTATCGGGCGATATAAAGGCCTAACATAAACATATCGACAAGCAGTATTTACTTTCGACGTTTTGATAAAATATATCTCTTACTTCATGACTTTCGAAAGTCATTTTCATAGCTCACCCCTTCGTCTAACAATACACAGACTTGTCCTACCTTCGTGTAAAATAGTTAAATTTAATTGGTCAATGACATTTTAACAAGCTTCCGTGTCACACCTCCCAGGAGGGTGACAACTGGAAAAAATATTACCCGCTGCCACAGTAACCGCCAATGTCTCCGCCGAGAAGCTGTATCGCTAATAATCGTATGCCTTCATGCAGTGCATGGAGTTCGAAAACCGTTCGATTAGCTGTTTTTTAGTTCACTGACTACACATTTATTTAACCGACTTTTACTGCCTTGTTTAAACTATTTCATATATTTGCACATTCAACTTAAATATAATTAACCATATTTATAGCAGTTTTACGCTTGTCAGAATATCTTTCACTGATTTTAAAAACCCAGTCGAGAGGTAGACGCCATTTTCTTTACATGTCATATAGTTGTTTGCGAGCTTATCGATCTTCAAAATATAATGAAATGATATTTTTGTGCATTGAACATGGCGGTAAGATAACTACGTTGCTGTGTTATCCCTCGCCTACCGACTCGGAAAACACTGCTATAGGAAGGCGTACATCAGACCGTATTACCCGAGGGACAGGATACAACTTATAGAATCCATGAGATCAAAGTGATTATTACTCGCCCGTGGAAGATCCTGCAGCGTAATATTTTAGGGCAGTATTACACTAAAGTAATACCGCTAGACGTATGACGACATAATAGTTTACGGTCATGACGTCACAATGCTAATACCTCTGTCACAATGGTATTAGACCTTGCTTGACTCACGGAAAGCTGAGAGTCATCACCCTGTAGGCAGTTTCTATCAATTTTTCTTGGAGAGTAATAAACAGAATACTAAACTAGCTTTCGTGAAATACCATTTTGATTAAACTTGTGAAGGATTTAGTATCAAATCATTAACTCGTTTAATAAAAATGGTATGACACGGAAGGTTGTTTAGTATCCTCTATATATCAAATAATGGATTAAAGTGTGTTACATCAACGTCTGTCTATGCTGTTATGATTTCTAGATTTATGCATATTGTACGTGTAATCCCCTTGGAGCGTTTCATCTTATCACTAACACAGATATTTAACAATACACCAACAGTGTACCCAAACAAGAGCCATCTTACCTACACTGCTCCCTGTCGGGTGCGGCTGGGTTGTAATATCAAGGACAGACTGATCGCCTGATGTAATATACATCCTTAGTGTGACAAGCAAAGAGGCCCGATCAATGTTGTTATAAATGTAAACAATCGTTTATGACAACATAAAGGTCTGTTTTGTGTGTTTAAGTGTGTGGTGGATTCGTACACATTGTTTCCGCCACCCCCTACTGATGACAAGACATTTGAAAACATGTGCTGAAGATTTCATTATGTTTGATTTATTACCATTTGCCGCCACCTCACTTGGGCCTCTTTGGTTACTGGAAACTCGAGAGCGGCTTCTACTTTGAGATAACATACCCTGCACAGGTTTAACACAGGGCACGGTGACATCACCTTCGTCACCGTCTCCCATCTACCCTCCAAGAAAGCTCGTTCCCACTATCAATGAAATCGAATTTCAAATATGAATATACAATGCCATTTAGAAAGTGGTCAAATGTATCTCATGTTACATTTGGGATTATACTTTCTCAATAAAGTGCAGATTCGTACTCTTTTGTTGGCTTGAGTCCCACTCGGGAATCCACGCCCTATGGTTAGGACACAATCCAACGAACGTACTAGAATATGAGATAGAGATAGATAATCTTTCTTTCCTCCCAAGACGAAGATACAGCAGGTTCTAACATAGGTTACATATTTACAGGTAACAGAGTGTCACAATCAAAATTCGAATAGGTATTTTAGTTGATGCAGCCTGGGTTTTACAGAGTTTGTGACTAGTTTTATACATTTATACCACATTTCTTGTTCAAGCTCTTGAGCATATATATCTGGTAGACCACCAAGCATAAATGAAACAAATAGGTCCTCATCATTCCATAAACTGACAAAAGTGTCAATATCTAGAATGCCAACTAGTGACTCAATCAAAGCGTTTCTACTACTTTGTATGAGAGTACAGTGTAGAAATACATGTTTTACAATATGATATGCAACTATGCCACATTCACACTCAAGAGACTGAATGCTAAGTGTGCTGATATGTAGAAGAGTAGCAATATTATTGAAACATTCTGGCATACTATAACATCTAGACCACAGTCTGTGAACATTTTTAGGATATCTTATAGTCTGCTATCTTTCAAGGTTAAGTCTCAACCTCGATACAGAAGCAACATGAGAATCCTCAGCTTTAAGTATTCTTTCTTTAACCAGTACAGACCACTCAGCCTTGGTTAAGAAGGAAGATTTGTTTACAAAGTTGTGCAAATGTATATCTAGGTCATACGTTGTCACAAGATTAAGCATGTGGGAGATTGGCGATGACTTGCTATATCGCTCTTTCTCGAGTGATGAAGTCTGTCTGTACTGACAATTGTAATGACCCGGTAAAATGTTATAAACTGCGGTAAATTGTAATAAAAACTGCGGTAAAATGTAATAAAACACGTTTCATTGCCTATTATGCATGTTAAAATGTTAGACTAAGCTTTATAGAAATCACAACCCGGACTTTGAAAACATCATACTGTTTTTGTTCGACTTCATAATGGTCACATCCCACAACTGACATGTTAAAAGAAATGAAAATATGAATATTTTATTAAATTTCTATCTTCCACACTGAAAGGCAGGTGACGTAAATTGCCGTAACAAACTGCGGCAAATTGTAATAACAAGTGCGGTAAATTGTAATAACAAGTGCGGTAAATTGTAATAACAAGTGCGGTGAATTGTAATAACAAGTGCGGTAAATTGTAATAACAAGTGAGGTAAATTGTAATAACAAGTGCGGTAAATTGTAATAACAAGTGAGGTAAATTGTAATAACAAATGCGGTAAATTGTAATAACAAGTGAGGTAAATTGTAATAACAAGTGCGGTAAATTGTAATAACAAGTGAGGTAAATTGTAATAACAAGTGCGGTAAATTGTAATAACCTGCGGCAAATTGTAATAACATCTCTCATTCCTTCTACTTTTCAAAGAAAGACGAATTCCAGCCTTTGTCCGACGACAACTTTCAGTTTCTATTCAACAGGTAATCTTACAAACCTTCCCTCCGTGTCGTGCAAATTGAAGCACACTGTCAACAGAGGCATCAATCAGAGAAAGGTGGGCCGCCTTTAATTCCAGGAGGTCAAACACGCCTCTCCGTCCACTAAAAGCTGCAGCCATTATTGGTGTCCATCCATTACTGCCTCTGAGGTTGATATTAGAAACTGACACCACATATTCAACCAAAGACATGTTGCCTCCCGGACAGACAAGGCCAAGTAAATCATCACCAAATGTATCGAGCAGAGTGAGGTCTGCCCCCTTTGATTCCAGGAGGTCAAACACGCTTTTGTGTCCATTGAAAGCTGCAGCCATTATTGGTGTCCATCCATCCAACTATAGGCATGTGGCCTTCCAGACAGGCAATGTGAAATAAACTATCACCAAATGTATCAAACATAGAGACGTCCGCCCCAATTGATTCTAGCAGGTTGCAAGCATGATTGGTGTCAAGCCATTGATGCCTCTTTTGTCAGTGCTAACTGAACGTACCAGTTGCCTAATAATGGCAATGTTTCCTCCTTGACAAGCAACGTGTCCTGTTTTTGCTGCAACCAGTAGAGGAGTGCAGCCATTCAAAGCAACACTGTTTAACATATCTTTATTTGCCTGTGTTTTTAACAGTGCCCAAAGTGTGTTTTCATGGTGTGATTTACACACCAAATGGAAAATGTTTTGCGTCCTGGAGTCAGAGGTATGGAGACTAGCTCCAGCATTCAGCAGATACAAAAGTGTTTCAGTACTGCCATTTCCTGCTGCAGACAACAGCAGTCTATTAGTCAGATCCTGTCCATCAATCTTAGAGAGAAGCCATTGCAGTATCGTAAACTTGTTTGTTTGAGCACAGCATTCAAGAACCTCTGTCATCTCGTCATCTGTAAACACTTCTCCAGTTTCAGTCTCCATATGTGTCCAAGAACAGCCCAATACAAGAAACACTTTCCTTTTTCTCTTTGGTGAATCCATGCATAGTCTACTGGATCACTTGTGTTGTGTTTCGTCCCATCAAACGTTAATCTTTCAAGAAGTTGTTCGACTAGTTTGCTGTGCTTAAGGATTGGATGTGTTACTGACTTTGAAAACTTTCCTTGCTTTATAGCATTTGCTAACCGCGTGCACAGAAGATCATAATACTCTTCGGAAATGAAAATCAAATGAACATTATCATCAACTTTGGTTTCCTTAACAGTTTTTTGGTCTACTCCCTCATACAGAAAGGCGCCACTGGAGTGCTTCAAAACAAAGGTTGGATTGATGTCATATACAACACATGCACATGCATCATAGATTGAAGAATGAGCAAAGCCAACAGTTTCCCCTTTTGTAAAAAATGTACCTCTGAAACTACGTGCTGCTTGACACATCCCAGAGCGTGTAGCTGTAGGTATTAGACGTATCACAATGTTGACTTTCACATCCAGCTCCTGGTCTGCATCAACGCTTTCAAACGTCGTAACGTCAGTCGTAATGTACCTTCACAAAGTAACATCAGGACAAACACTGCAGTTCGATCATTCATCGCACGAATTATGAGAGTGAGCTCCTCCCTCAAATAAGACAATGGTTCTTTGAAAAGCTTTCTTGGATTTTTTTAAAAAGTACAAAGTTTACATATGAGTGGGAATCCAAATAATTTTGAAGGTATTTTCAAATCACTGTATTTGGGTAGATTACCTTTGTAGAAGTCATCTGCTATGCTCTTATGTCTCTCGTATATTTCCTGTTCCTCTGCTAGGGAAAGACTTATAGGGATATAATTATCACTGCTTGTTTCTCAAACAGAGGAAAACAAACAAAGTGCAGTTGTGCAAGTCCATCATGAAAGTTGTATGACTTTGTAGTAAGAATAACACTAATATCCTGCATTTAACTCTTTCTTTCATCATCCTGCTTGTGTTTTCTTTCCTCTGACTGAAATTGTTTTAAGACCTGCTTGCAGTGTTCCAAATGGAGAAGAAGATTTTTAGGAAATGATTTAATCAGTAGAACATTAGTGGACATGCCTACTGTACCAAACATGTCATCAATGATAAGAAATACTCGTGGTGTAGAACTGAGGCAGCTGTCCAAATCAAACTTGTCAATGCTTACCACAAATACGACCTGTAACCTCGGCTTCTGTAATGTGAATTCAATATGAGAGCCATTGTGGTCTTCCCTTCTCCTGAGGCACAACAGATTGTCACGTAACCAAACGATTCAAGTTTTCGCTTCACCTGTCTGTAGACGTCCATTTCAACAAATGTTTTCTTTGCTTCAATTTGGCAAGGTTCGAGAGTATCTGTGGACAAATATGACATCGCAGATACATATTGTGCTCAGGGCATAAACTCATTGACGTTATTCAATATACTTATGTTGCTGCTGGTAATATGGGTAATTAATGTAAACTAAAATACACTTAAAATTGTATACTAATCCGGTCAGAGTTGTCTACTTTAGATTGTGACGCGATGAGTGCAAAATAGCGCTGTCTAATTTATACGCAATATTTCATGAATAACAGTGTATGATCTGAAAGGTCGTCAAAAAGCATATTCTGGATCGTTTATCAAATGCTTATTTCGTAACTTATCTGTCGGTCTTTACTAGTATGTTCAGATTGCAAAATATAAGTAGGATTTAAGCTACATTATGCCCCAGAGTTCATCAGTATAGATGCTTTGACAAATCCCTCTGCGTGGATGTTTAATGTTGCACGCAAGAATATTTCCGCTATATAACGACAATCTGTAAGTAAATATTATAGACAGTGATGAGTTACAATCTTGAAATGGAATATCCACTGTTTCCCAATTTCCCATGGGCTTGGCTCTATTGTGAGCAACAGCATGCCGAGGGCACAATTTACTTGGGTCCCCACTGTGTATTTTGAATGCTTGTAAGTTAGATCATAGATATGAATAGCATATATTTGTAAGGAATTTTCATTTAAACGATTGCATGTGTGTAACCAAGGCTTGGCGGGTTTACTAATTACTCACCTTCTCCGACTGTC